TTAATCAGTCCTTTAAAATCTCACTCTGGACCTAGTGGCTTCCCTGGTGAACCCTAACAAACATTTGAAGAATAACTACCAGTCCTCAAGTTTTTCCAGAAAACTGAAGAGATGAGAACATGTTCTGATTAATTCTGTGAGGCCACCATTAATACCCCGATATGGAAGCCAAAGGCACCACAAGTACAGAATACCTACATGCCTGAGGAGCACTGATGTAGAAATCCTCAACAAAATACTGGCAGCATTTTTACAAGATCATACAATGTAAATACGAGCAGCGTATTTAGAAGATTATACACCATGACCTCATGGAATTTATTTTTGGAATGCAAATATGTTTTGACATAAGAAAGTTAATCATAGTAAATAAACAATGAAAAAAATGAACATCTCAATATTTTATTAAAAGCTTTTTTTTATTAGGGATGGGATCTTGCTTTTTCACCCAGGGTGGAGTACAGTGGCGTGATCATGCCTCACTGCAGCCTGGAACTTGCTGGGCTCCAGCTTCTACCTTATGCCCTCAAGTAGCTGGAATGACAGGTGCCAGGTTAATTAATTAATTAATTAATTTATTCATTTTTGCACAGACAGGGTCTCTGTGTTGCCCAGGCTGGTTTTGAACTCCTGGCTCAAGTGATCGTCCCACTTTGGCCCCCCAAAGTGCTTGGATTACAGGTGTGAGCCACTGTGTTCAGGTGTAGTCATCTCAATTGATGTAGAAAAAGTATTTCATAAAATTCAGCATCCTTTTATGACAAAAAGAACAAACTAGAAATAGAAGGAAACTACTTCAATATAGTTAATGCCATATATGAAAACCTCAAAGAGAAAGATCATCAAGGTGAAAGACTGAAAGCTTTTCCTCTAAGGTCAGGAACAAGGCGGAGACGCACACCCTGGCCTTTTCTATTCAACATAGTACTGGAAGTTACTAGCGAAGCAGTTATGTGAGAAAAAGAAATACAAGGCATTCATATTTGAAGGGAAGAAGTGAAACCATGTCCATTTGTTGATGATGTGAAATTGTATGCAGGAAATCTGAAAGAATCCACTAAAAAGGTATTAGAACTAACAAAAGTTACTGGATGTAAAGTAAACAGGAAAATCACTTGTGTTTCTGTACACTAACAATGAAAATCTGAAAAGGAAATTAAGAAAATAATTCCATTTACAATAGCATCAAAATAACAAAATACTTAGGAATTAACTTGGTCAAGGAGGTGAAAGACTTATACAATGAAAATGACAAGACATTGTTAAGAGAAATGAACAAATGGAAATGCACCCCACGGTTATGTATTAGAACACGATATTGTTGAGATGTTAACACTACCCAGCTTAATCTGTAGATTAAATGCAATCCCTGTCAAAGTCCCAGTGATTAGTTTTTTAGAAATAAAAAAATCCTAAAATTCATACGGAATCGCAAGTGACCTCAAATAGCCCCTACAATCTTGAAGAACAAAGCCAGAGGACTCATACTTCTGGTTTCAAAACCACAGATCTCTAATGAAAGACCTACAGACTAAAGGAATAGAATAGAGAGCCCAGCCACAAAGATCCTCACATATTTGGTCGAGTGATTTTTGACAAGGGAGCCAAGACCATGCAACAGGGAAAGGGCAGTCTTTTCAGAATATAAAGCTTAAGACTGTCAAACTCTTACAAGAAGATATGGAGCGGCCTGGTGTGGTGGCTCACTCCTGTAGTCCCAGCACTTTGTGGGGGCCAAGGTGGGTGGATCACTTGAGGTCAGGCGTTTGAGACCAGCCTGGCCAACATGCTTGAAGCCAAATGAAGAAATCAAGGTCTTAGGAAAGATAAATATGTGGGCAATTGTAAAAGGGGAAACCCTGTCTCTGCCAAAAATACAAAAAACGAGCTGACAAGATTGCATGCACCTGTAGTCCCAGCTACTTGGGAGGCTGAGGCAGGAGAATTGCTTAACCCAGAAAGTGAAGGTTGCAGTGAGCTGAGATGGCACCATTGCGCTCCAGCCTGGGTGACAGAGTGAGACTGTCTGAAAAAACAGAAGAAGAAAACAGCAGAAGCTTCAGGAAGGCATTAGATTGGGCGGTGATTTTTTTGGAAGTGACGCCAAAGGCACAGGCAAAAATCAACAATGTGGACTTTATGAAAATCTAAACCTTTCTTGCGTCAGAAGACAATGTCAGCAGAGTAGAAAGACAGCCCACAGAATGGGAGAAGCAACCCCTGTATCTGGTAGGGGATTAATATCCAGAATATATGGAGAACTGTTAAAACTCAATGACAATCTGATAGGCATTTCTCCAAAGAAAAATCTATGACTGGCTTATAAAAAGGTGAAAAGGGGCTCAATATCACTGTCATGAAGGCAACATAGATTAAACTATGAAATAGAAAATAAGCACTGATGGGGATATGGAGAAATCAGAGCCCTGGACCCTGTTGGTGGGATGTGAAGAGGTGCAGCTGCTATGGAAAACCAAATGGCTGTTCTTCACAGAAAAGAGAATTGCCCCATGGACGGCAGTTCTGCTCAGTGTGTTTATCCAGAGACGTTTGTACACCCACATCCACATGCACCACTGCAGGATAGCTACGCAAGTGAGGCACCTGAAGTGTCCATCTGTGGCTGCGTGGGCAAGCAAAGTATGGTGTGTACGGACAGCAGAATCTTATTCGTTGAAAGGAAATCCTGTCACACCACAACATGGATGCCCTTGAGGACTTTATACTAAGTGAAATATACCAGAAATGAAAAGACAAATACTTGCTTATGTGAGGTACTTAGAGTCGTCGAATCATGGAGACAGGAAGTTGAATGTTGCCAGGAGCTGAGGGAGAGGGGTGGGGAGTGAATGTTGAGTGGGGAGGGCCCTTCCCTTTGGAAGGATTCAGTGGTCTGGAGTGGTGGCGCCTACAGCACCCTGTGAACGTGCCCAGCACCACCGAACCACGCACTTAAAAATGGTTCAGACGGTAAATTTTATGTGTATTTTGCCACAGTGAAAAATTGGAAGGACACGCAGAGTATGGAAGAGAGCTAAGTGCTTCGAGTTGGCTAAATAAATCACTGAAAGTTCCCATACAAGACTAGTTTTAGAAGAGTCGTTTTTGCGGGAGGTGGAAATGAGTTCTTTTTTCCTAATCTTGAATTACCATAAGCATCGTGAGAGTTGTGGAGCTTACATAGCACAGCGGGCAGCCGTGCCTCAGAGTGCTTCGTGTGGGCGCATGTGCAGCCAGCACCTGCATGTGTGTGGTGGCTTCCGTGGCGAGCTTCCTGTGCCTGTGTTCCTTCCCAGCCTTGGAAGGGGTTGAAACTCGGGGATGCTGATTCGGAAGGAGTAGGGGTGGGAGCAGCCCCTGGCTTCATGAGGAAGGGGCTCTGACCAGGCACGGGGGCGCCCCTGTGGGCAGGATTGCTGGAGTCCAGTTCAAGGCCAGCCTGGGCAGCGTAGAGAGACCCTGCCCCTAAAGAAAGAATGGGGCCCAGTGTCCATGGAGAGCCTGGGGAGGGAGGCAGAGGCCAGGGTTCTGTGAGGGCCTGGAGATGGTGGCTCTGGGTGGCCGTGAGAATGCGGCGGGCGTGTTGGGTTCCAGCTGGGTTGACTTTGAGGGTCTGGTGGGATGAACCCTCTGGCTCCACCATCACTTTGAGGTAGCCTCACTATGACCTCTGACCGTCAGCATGGCATGACCTTTCCGAGGTGACCCAGGTCTCCCACACGTCAGCCTGCCTGTTCTTAATACAGTGGAGGGCTGCATTCATTGGAATGTTCTGGTGTCACTGCCCACTTCATTTCTGTGCCTGGCAGCACTGTTTTACTCCTGGTTGGGAGCATGGCCACCTCCCGTTCAGCTTCCTCCCGTGTCCCTGGTGAGTTGAGCCACTGCCCTCGAGGACCCTGGGCTTGCAGCCAACCTGGCTGGCACAGCTGTCCTTTCCCAAGCTGCCCTCGGGCGAGTCAAGCACTTCTTCCCGGGTTTCTGAAAGAACTCTGCACTGACTTCTCAAAGGCAAAATACAACTCAGGCTTCAGTCGTTGGTGCATAGCCCCAGATTTCCTTCTTTTTCTGTGAATCTTCACTGCCCAGCGTGATGGATGGGCCTGGGCTCAGGAGCCGATTCCACAGGCTCCTGCCCCTCCCGCAGGCACCGGGGAGTGAACCGAAGTGCACTGTGTCTTCCGGGCTGGTGTCGCGACCCCTGGCCACCTCCCCATCTCAGACGTCCCGTTGCAGCCATGCTTCCGCCTCGTCTCCAGCTTGAGTGCCAGCCAGCGGCATCACCAGCGCACAAGCTGCCCTCTGTTCTGGAAGCACAGACCGTGCGTGTGGCCACGCGTCCGTGACGTAAACTCAATCTGCACCAAGACATTTGTGGACAGTTTTTATTGATGGAGTAGGCGATGGAAGATGTTTGGTACAGCGTCTTCCATCAGCATTGATTTAGTTAACCTGACAACACATCTGCAAGGCTTTTAGTCTTTCCTCAGAGGCCATTTTTCATGGACTTTCTGTGTCTGTTGGAGTGTTGGATTTCGATGTGCCAGTCGCTTGTGCTTGGGCCCTTTGGGCACTAATAGCCACACTACTGTGCGTGTGAAATTGGGACCCGGCCCTCACACTGCCGTCTGGGTGGGAAGCCCGTGGCCTTTGGTGATGAAATTGGGACCCGGCCCTCACACAGCTGTCTGGGTGGGAAGCCCGTGGCCCTCAGCAAGGGCACGTTGGCTTCTTTGGGAGAGTGTTCTCATTTCAGTTTTTTAAGAGGATTAGAGTTGCTAACTTAACATTTATATTTATATTTGGAGGAGAGACTTGTCCTTGGTGAATGAGAAGTGTTTGTAACTAGTTGGGTTTTAAACTCCGTCAGGCTGATGGCGCCCTCGCTCCCCACTGTCTGCCTCCTGGAGCTACGAGTGCCCTCAGGTGACAGCTCCACTCCAACACGGTTTTTGTAATTTCCCTGACGTGGAACTGAGACTTTCAGAAGGAGATTTTTAAGGAAGGATTTGTTTTTTAGTTAATTTTTCTCCCATTATCAGGAAACACATTTTTCTTTTACATACATTAACTTTAATATGTTTTATTTTACAACGTAGGAATTGCAATTTTAAAAGCAAGAACTCAGAATGTCACTAGTGGAAGCCGTGTTTCACATCAGTGTATCAGTGGTTTTTATATTAATGTGGGGGCGGTTCATATTGAAGTATAGAAAATAAATTATAGTAAGAAAGTGAACGTCTACATAGGAAAAGGCGAACTGATTTACGATCTGCTTAATCAGCTGGTTGCTGCCTTGGCGTTCCCGTGTTAGCTGGACATTCTTAGAGCAGCAAATTCCATCTAAAAACGGTAAGAATTCAGTGAGGAAGAACGGATACTCGCAGGCAGGCCCTTCGCATGTAGGTGCTTGTCTGGAGTTCCCACACTGACAACACCGTCGCTGCTCTACATCGTTTTTGGGATGGTTCGGCAGGGAGGGCATCTGTGAGCGACCCCGCTTTTGGGATGGTTCAGCAGGGAGGCCATCCGTGAGCGACCCCGCAGGCTGGGCCCAGGACCCCTGCGCCCTGTTCACTTCTCAATCTTGAGTTTGAACTCCACTTTCCCTTCATACGGGTCATGGGGGTTGTCAAAGGTCACGTGCTCCGCCATGACCTTGCACACGATGGCCACCTGAGCGTTCCTGGGGATGTTGAGGAGCTTTGCTGCCACCAGAGGGTTGCTGTAGTGGGGCTGAAGTGGGAGTGCGGAAAGGAGAGGTGTCTCAGAAATCTCTGAGGTTAAGGAGAGAAACTAAGCAAGGAAAGTGCCAACAGTCAGGCTGGTACAGAGAGCAGCTCCTTCGGGTGAGACTGGTCATGCCCTGGAATGTGCTGAGATAACACCTCCCTGCTTGAAAATGGAGAGGAACGGTCTGGAGGGCACAGACAATACCAAGAGTAAGTTCAGCTTCAATCTATTATGATGATTAACATAAAAATGAAATAGGAAAAGCATTTGGCATGGAGGAAAAGCTTTGAAGTGGATATGCAGTTGTTTAAAAGGATCTGGGATTGGAAGGCCAAGGCGGGTGGATCACGAGGTCAAGAGATCGAGACCATCCTGGTCAACATGGTGAAACCCCGTCTCTACTAAAAATACAAAAAATTAGCTGGGCATGGTGGTGCGTGCCTGTAATCCCAGCTACTTGGGAGGCTGAGGTGGGAGAATTGCCTGAACCCAGGAGGCAGAAGTTGCGGTGAGCTGAGATCGCGCCATTGCACTCCAGCCTGGGTAACAAGAGCGAAACTCCATCTCAAAAAAAAAAAAAAAAAAAAAAAAAAAAAGGATCTGGAACGTAGAAAAATTAGTCTAGCTGCAGTGGCTCACGCCTGTAATCCCAGCACTTGGGAGGCTGAGGCAGGGTGATTGCTTGAGCCCATGAGTTTGAGACCAGCCTGGGGAAATACTGAAACCCTTTCTCTACAAAAAATACAAAAATTAGCTGGGCACGGTGATGTGTGCCTGTGGTCCCAGCTTCTCAGGAGGCTGAGGTGGGAGGATTGCTTGAGCCCAGGAGGTTGAGGCTGTAGTGAGCTAAGATTGCACCGCTACACTGCACCCTGGGTGACAGAGGGAGACCCTGTCTCAAAAAAACAAAAAAGTAGAAGAGTGAGAGTTGCTATTTTCATGTTGCTTGAGAGGAATGTTTCCAGGTAGATGCAAGAACCAGGGCTTGGGAAACACACAGACCGTTCCGCAGTCAGGACTGGCTAAATCACACCTGTTTCATCTTTGTATGCGAAGGCGCTATTGCTTTCCTTTCACTAAGTGTGGTGAGGGAAGCGTGGGAGGAAGGAGCCTACCTGGGCTTTCTTCCCGTAGTAAGGGAAGTAGTGCAGACTGAAGGTGCCGTTGGGAGGGTAGTACGCGACCTGCAGCGGCTGGCCGAGCTCCTGGGGCTGGTCCTGGGGAGGAGAGGCCACTGCCTGAGTCAGGGGAGCTGGCGTGTGCCCGTGTCTGTGTGCCTGCGTGTGTGTGTGTGTGTGCACACGTGTGCCATGTAAGTGCTGGCATTAGCACTTTATGGCATAATGAGCGTAAATTTGATGCAATCTTCATAATCAGTGCTGCGATCTCAGCAAGGATGCAATTTGTTAGCACACAGAATGCCCGGTGACCCCTCCAGCTTGTGCTTCTAGCAACTTGAAGTCTTGGAAGGATGACCTAGGTGGGTGAAGCTGGGAATTTGCTGGCTTGTCTACACTCGGGAATGGCCACTGTGAAGTGGCAAGTGCTGGTTTGCCAAACTGGGTTGCGAGTTGGTGTGAGTGGGACAAGCACACCCCTGCCGCCCAGACCACGAGTGGAGGCTTGGAGGGAGTGAGGTTCCCGCGGAAGCCCGGTGGGAGGCTCCATGCAGTGATGGGACCACGCCGTGAAACCTTTGCCTTTGGGTGTGATGGTGGAAGCAAACCTTAGAAAACATTTAATTTAAAAAATTTAGTTAAAAAAAATGTTGACTTAAAAAGCAGTTTTGAAAAACGCCTGGAATTAGCCTGAGATCAGTGCCACTCTTAGCAGTCTGAATACTAAACACGGTTAAACAGCTGGAGCTGCTGGCAAGATGGCATCTTTTTGTAAAGCAAATAAAAAGAACAGAACTGGGAGAAGTACACACGGCCAGGCTGCTGATGTGCTGCCCAGATGCTTCTGGAAGCGAAGCAGTAAGGAAAAAGCAACGTTTTCCTTGCTGGCTTTTACCCCCCCGTGGTGGAACTTACCGTGGTGATGTTGCACCTGGTTAACTGGGCCGATAGCCGACACTCCTGGATCTCTCCAGCGGGCTGTGCCCAGTGTGGACCAGCATGACCCTGACAAGCTCCTTTCCTGGGGTACCCCTGCCCGCTGAGCAGCTGTACTCACCAGGAAGGCGCAGTCCACTCTGGGGGCCGAGCCATTGCTTGGGAGGAACTTGACGATCTAGAAGGGAAAAGCGTGAGTGTGTCCCCCCTTCCCATGTGAGGTGCAGCGGTGCCTGCCTATGGAGCTGCGGCTGAGAAGGGCTTCCCATGTGAGGTGCAGCGGTGCCAGCCTATGGAGCTGCGGCTGAGAAGGGCTTCCCATGTGAGGTGCAGCGGTGCCTGCCTATGGAGCTGCGGCTGAGAAGGGCTTCCCATGTGGGGTGCAGCGGTGCCTGCCTATGGAGCTGCGGCTGAGAAGGGCTTCCCATGTGAGGTACAGCGGTGCCTGCCTGTGGAGCTGCGGCTGAGAAGGGCTTCCCATGTGAGGTGTCGCGGTGCCTGCCTATGGAGCTGGGGCTGAGAAGGGCCTTTGTCTGGTTTGTGGCTTCCCTTGGAGGAATCTCCATGGGTGTCACTAACTCATCATTTGGAGCCACAAGCCTCCCCCCACCCACCCATCACCAGGCCACTTGGCCCAGACTGCAGGTGGCAGCTGGCAGGTGGCAGATCTGGGGGGGGTGGTCTTAGCCCTTGAACTGTGTCCAGGCCGGCCTGCCTCACTGCAGGACTGGGTCCACCTCCTGCTCTGCGCAGCTCTTCTGGAAACCTCTCTGGCCCACTCGGGTCTCCAGCCCCCTTCCCCATACCTCATCCCTGGGCTTCTCCAGCTCCAGCCATCCCTTCCCATGCTCTGAGGAGGGCAGCTGCATGAGCTGGGACCCCCGTCATAGCCCCTCCATGCCGGCCATGCTGAGACCCCAGCTGACAAAGGGGCCTGTGAGGTGTGGTGGGCACAAGTGTACAGCCTCTTCATTGGAAAAGGAACAGCGCAGCTGCCCAGAGGCCCAGTGCAGAGCTGCTGGTTAGTCTATGGAGTGGTGGCCCTAAGCCCTCTGCCAGGGGTCACCTCCCCACACCCCAAGAGTCTCCTGGTTCCATGTTGGAAGACTGCTTTAGAAGGTGCCAAACCCCTCTCAGCCCTGGCTCTAGAACCTGAGGCCCCTTTACCCGGCCCTGGTGTCTCTGGCCACTCTGAAGGGGCCCTGGCCTTGCAGAGACCCCCAATCGAGCTGTTCCACATGTTCCAGAGGGCTGGCTATGTGCTGGTGTCTGATAAGTGGTTTTAAATTTGTATCTAAGAGTCAAACAGGATGGGTGTGTGCCAAACCAAGGTACAGGGTGGTGAGGCCGGAGTCCTCGTCCCTGCTTGGACCAGCCCCGGACGGGACACGTGTGCTCCTCGTGGTGGGTGTGAGTGAGAGACTGTGACCGCACTGTTGGAGGGGTGCACGGAGGCCCTCAGTACTCACCCTGTTAATTTTAATAATAAAACATGGCTTTCCTTCTTCAAAGCCGAAGTCGGGGTCTGCCAGGCCCGAGCAGTTCTGTAGCATGTCTGCCGTGAACTTGCAGGAGAACTTGGTGTGGTTTGGAGCAAGGAAACGCTCCTGGAAGAAGTACTGGTCGGAGGTGCAGTTGATGCTGTCCTCCTGGGCTGCTGGAGAGTAGCCTGCGGGACAGATGCACCTGTCAGCGCTGCCCTGCCCTGGCCCCAACGCCCGGCTGCCCCCCGGGAAGGCCTCGAGCCATTTCACACCTTACCTGCTAGGAAGGTGTGGAGAATGTGTGTGAGGTCTGCCCAGGTTCTGTTATCAGAGACGTTGTAGACGATTTCCAGGCCTTTCTCCCCATAAACATCTGGCCTTAAGGTTACCCCTGGAGAGAGAGAACTCTGGGTGTAGTGTCTCCGAATGCTCACCACACCCAAGCCATTGGCTCTGAAGTGGCTGAGGATATGCCAGAGGCTGTGGCCCAGGGCTGGGATCCAGGTCTTTCCGGCTGCTGAGGAGCCTCAGTGGAGTACGCTTGTCTGCAGCACAGGAAAGCAGGACCCCCAGGACAACACGGTCAGCATGTGGCCCAGGTGTCCTGCTGGATATTGCCCAGGCTCCGCCTGGGATATGGAACCTGGCCGGCTACTGTCAGGGAGTGGCCGGGTCTCACCGGGTGCCTGCTCTGACAGCTGACGACTAATTGGGAGGCTGCAGCTGGGTTTCTACGTAAGATTGAACACGCATTAAAACAATCTTCAGTGGTTCTGGTTAAGAGCATAAGCGGTCTAACAACATGTTAATTGTCAAACTGAACACCAGGATGCACCAAACCGTCAAGGGCACATCCTCGAACACCTTCCCGTTTATGCAAAAACGTGCGTCTGCTGCAGGTCCTCAGGACCCGCCTGCCTCCCACACGCCACTTGCCTTTCTGTTTCCCGTGTGACTGGGAGCCTCTTTCATGTCAACTCACCTCATTCTTTCCATAAACAAGGTTTCTTTGTGTGAAGCCTGCAGTTTGCTTAGCAGGTACCCTGTGGATGCAGCGGGCTTTGCATTTGAGGCTAGGTGCGGCTGTTTCTATGGATGTCGTAGAGTAACATCTAGACACAGTTTAAAATGAAAACCCTCCTCGGGGCCTAAGGGAAAAGGCGGGTCTGCACTTGCTCTGCACATGGACCGGCATGTCTGCCCTGCGGCCGCCACTGACTGAGGCGCCTGTTCCTCTGTCCTCGCGCCCTGCTGATGTGTCGCTGACCGGCAGGCCTCTTTTCCTGCTGGGCGTGCTCCTTTCCCGTGCGTCCTTGCAGAAACGTTCCATGTGCGTATACAAGCACAGGAAGTGGATGGGAAACTTTGTCTCTATAACCAAACCCTCTGTTTCATAATTAAAACTAAAGCCAAAGTCGGGTGTAATTTGGGTTCATTTTTCTCATGGAAAGAAGCTGAGGGGCCACTTCGTGGGCCGGGAGGCCACCCTCAGGGGCACCTGTTGGGGGATGTGGCCCACCCTGGGGCTGCCGGGCTGGCTTCTCTGGGCTTCATTTCTGGGGGAGCACAGGTCCCCCTGAGCATCTTGAGAGCCCCAGAGGGGGCAGCCCAGCCTGACACAGCATGGGGGCATCTGGGTCTTCGGGATGTGGCATCCCCCGAGCTTACCTGGTGACTGTAGCTGGTCTTGGTAGTCCGGTGTGTACGGGTCAACCGTCTGCATCAGCACGTAGAGGCACAGGGCGAAGAGCCCGGTCATCACAACGTAGAACGCCACGTAGTACAGGCTGATCCACACTGTGACACAAGGTGGGTGCAAAATTCACGTCAGCCATTTTAACGAGCACAGTTCAGTGGCCTTCAGCACATCCGTGATGAGGCGCAACCATCTCCCCTACCTAATTCCAGAACATTCTCAGCCCCCAAAACAGAAACCCTGCCCCCACGAACAATCACTGTGTTCCCCTCCCAGGCCTGCACCACTGGCTGCGTTCTGCCTCTGGCTTTGCCCGTCTGGACGTCCGCACATGCAGAATCCTGCCACCCAGGGCCCTTGCACCCGGCTGCCTTCGCTCCAGCTGCTGTTTGAGATGTGGCTGAGGATGTGCCCCCATCCCAGCTCCAGCAGGAACTGAGGACCCTCTGAGGGGGAAGTTATGGTTTCCCCATCACAGGAAGGGAAACTGAGGCAGAGGTGCCGTCCTGCCCATGGTGACCGGTAGTGTAGCTTCGAAGTGCAGGGCCAGCCCTGTTTCCACAAGGACATCAGGAGGAGAAAGGGCGGAAGGGAGGCCCTGGGAGATGGCTCCGCTCAGCAGCAGGGGTGTCCGTGGGCACTGGCCGCTCAGAGTGTGGCTTCATCTCCTCTGCTTCTAAGACTGTCCTGTGTGAGTGTCTCCCTCAGAGTCAGAACAAATGGAAGCCACTGCCAGCTCCTGGACATGGGTGGCTGCCTGGATGCTGTCTCCATCTCTGGAAATTAGCTTGTGTGGATCACAGCAGGTGTTTTTAGGGCGTTTTCAGGGAGACACCACTGGGAGGAAGATGGCTTTGTGCTCGCTGCAGCTTTTCTCTTCCGGGAAGGTGTGATGAACTGGGTCTCCTCCTCCTCTCTGGTGATGTTAGTGAGTCATTCTCCAGTGACCCAAAACAGCCAAAGGCCAGGGCCAACTCAGAGAGAAGCAAGGGAGCCTGGGACCAAGAGGCCGGAGCCCTGAGCCGTGACGGGAGGCTGTGGCCTGTGGACGGGGTGTCCTCTTCTGGCCGGGTCTCTCCTGTGAGTTGGGACAGTGCAGGTCTCTGAGCCGGGTCTCTTCTCCCTAAGCCAGGGTCCAGCACTTGGCTCAGGCCTGGGTCTTGCTCACCCAGTATTCACTCCGAGTCCCTCCTTTCCCCGCAGCCATCTCTGGCTACGGTGTTCTCGTGTGGTGTCCACTCCGAGTCCCTCCTTTCCCCGTGGGCGTCCCTGGCCACAACGTTCTCGTGTGGCATCCACTCCAAGTCCTTCCTTTTCCTGCGGCCGTCCCTGGCGACGGCGTTCTCGTGTGGCGTGGGCGTGTGGCCACCAGCACCTTGGCTTCAGGTTCCGGTTTTGGGTTTCTGGCTCAGCAGCACGGGGCCAGCTGTGGTAGTAGTGGAGGGTTCCATTCTCTTGCTGGATCATGCCTGGCACCGACCCTGCAGGTGTGTGCCTCAGTGTCCCCAGGTCACTCCTGACATGCCTTTTATTTGACGTGGCCACCTGCCCCCAGGGACCTATGCTTGTGAAAGAAGGAGTCTCTGTCCCCCACTGCGGGTCCTGTGGGTCTACCTTGGGGCCCATGGTGCACGGTGGTGACGTGGGCAGTGCACGTCTCCCCGGCGGCTGCTGACCCACTCCATGGCGAGTCTCAGACCCACCAGGCGGCTCGCCCCTGCCTCCCAGGTAGGAGCCGAGGTTGGCCAGGCTGGGCCCAGGCTTGGGTGGGCTGTGCCTCCTGCTCTTCCTGGGCCCCCGCTTGCACTGTGGTGTTCAGGGCGCGCGGCAGTGCACAGGGCAACGGTTGGGAGGTGAGTGGGAGCCTCATTCCCGCCAGCTCACTTTGCCTCTACCACATCCCGCTTCTGTAAGAATAATGTGTCCTATTCCTTTCGCTTTTGTCATTTCCCTTGAATTATGTTTTCCTGGGGGCCTAAGACTTTCTCATCCCCGAATGGAGGCCACGTCCACCAGCTGGGCAGTAAGACCATTCTGGAAGGTTCTCTGTGGCCCTGCAGCCAGGAGGCGGCACGGGGGAATCTCAGCATCTAGAAAGGCCCGAAAGATGAGTCTTCTGTGGCATGGCCAACAGCCCCCAGCCCTGCCCCTGGCCCAGGAGGCCCCTCCCCAGGTCCCTTCCTCTCCAGGAGGCCCCTCCGCCTCTGATCCCTTCCTCTCCAGGAACGGGGTATTTGTTCGACTTTAAATGTGCCATGGCTCCAGCTGGCTCTGGTGCCCTTTGAGACCGAGGACCCACCAGGGCTGCAGTGTGTGTGGGAGGCTTGGCAATGTGTCAAGTGTGTTCCCAGCACATCTCAGCTGCACACACAGCTGCGCACACAGGTGGGGCGGGCCTGGAGCTCTGCATTCACACCTCAGTGCCAGGACCCCCAGAGATGGGCACCATGGGGACAGAGGAGGGCCCAGCCTTCTCTGAGAGCTGGGAGTGATGCCTGGCTGGCCAGTGCAGCTGTGTCCTGAGGCTCGGGGTCCTCAGGGAGGTGGGGATGTGCTTCCCTCAGACTCTCCCGTGAGGGGTGAGGGCGTTTCCTGGAATGGGTTTGGCAGCCCTGATGTAGGTGCGGACGCCTCCACCGCTTGTGCGGCCTTAGAGGCCCAGGCATCTGCTTTCCTCCCAAGAGGGCCAGGTTGCCATTGCCTCTGCACAGTCACGGGGACAGGACCCTGCAGGGTGGACCTCGCCCAAGGCACAGGTGCTGCAGGCTGAGCCAGGCCGGGTCGCACCTCCCCTCCGCGTCTGGACGCCAGCGGTGTCCCAGAAAGGGGCTGCCGCTGCGTCTTGGGAAAGCCCCTGATTCAGGTCAGTGGGTGAATCTGTGAGACCAAGGAGTTGCCGTTGCCACCTTTACGTTCTTTTAAAAATGATTCAGTTTAGAAAATACACTTTTAAAATGCTGTTCTCAGACATATGGCTGAAATGTGGGGCCAGTCTGTGGACATCCTTCACGGGTGGCGTTCTGCAGTCAGGTGCCAGGTCAACTCAGCCTTCGACATGCTCTGGGGACCCTCACTTTCCCGGGGAGGCAAGTGAGGCCCTGCCCGAAGCCCGTCCATGCTGTCTGGGCAGGAGCGTCTGGGTCTCACTGTCAGGGGCCCTCTGCTCCCCTCCTCCTGAGCTCACCTGGAGGCGGCGTTCTCAGAGCAGCCCCTCCGTGCACCCAGCCCACCTGCCGCCCCCAGCACCTACCCCACCGGGACAGCGTGCGGCCCAGCATCTGCCCTGTGTCCGGGTTCCAGCAGTAGTGCTGGAACTCCTGCATGCGCTGGCTGCACGTCTTCTTCTCCTGCAGCGCTGCCATCGTGCCTCCCTGCACCCCCTACGTCCAGACTGAGGCCAGACGCCCTCCTCTGGGCTTTATAGTTTCCCCTGCTGGAGGTCAAAGGCATCGTGGGCAACTGATCCCAGGGGGAGCTCCGGAGCCGAGTTATCAGCGCTGGCCATCGCCCCCCCAAACACCAGGGGTTGCCAGGACTGCGTTCCACACCCTGCTGCTCTTGGGGTGCCCTTGGCTACGGCTTTGCCTGCTCTGATAGTGGCAAGGGTGCATTCCCAGTGGGCAGCACTCACAGGCCCTGCCCCTTCCCTCCTCTCCTTGAGGAGGGAGATCAAGGTTGGAGCAGGGCGGCCTGGACCCACTGTGTCCTCGACCTTGGGCTGAGCCAGCTGGGGCTGCCTCCCTGGCCTGGGAGGGTGTGAGGCAGGAGAGTGAGGGGCCACCGGCTTTGTAGGCTCCCAGCCGTGGCCGCCCCGATTCTGGGTCACCCAGTGGAAGGGTGAGCCTGGCAGCTAGAGCTGAGTTGGCAGGAAATGCAGGGGTCCTGGGGGCTCCTCGGCCCCCCAGATTCACCCAGAGCAGCAATGTCCTCTGAGATCCCCAGAGGGCTCGGGTACTGAGGGCCCTTTAGGATATTTTTTTGTCTATGGAGGAATTCATAAACATAAACTCCTAAATCTAGAGGTCCCTGAAATGAAGTTCCCAGGAGCCCTGAGCATCTGTTGAATGCAGATTCAGCTCCGTGAGCCCTGGGTGAAGGTGCAGGTGGGCAGACCTCATTTCTAACAATCCTGGTGGGAGGAAGTAAGGCAGGGGTCCAGGTGGGGGGTGCTCAGCCTGGGCAGCACATTGGGGTCACTGGGGGTCTGGGCAGTGTATCGGGGTCACAGGACCAGGGCAGGGGCCGTGAAGTCATCACTGCCCACTTCTGCCCAGAGATTCTGCCTGAGCCCCTCGCCCTGGGGGCGGAGCACAGGATGTGGAGCACTGGCAGGTGGTCCTGCAGAATCCCGGCTCAGAGGCTTTGCTGTTGCAGACAGGGGTCTTGGGTGGTGAATGCCATGGCCGCCCGCTGGCTGCCCCAAGCACCTCTGCAGGCGGTTGACGGGAACGCAGGGGTGAATGGAACATGACAGGGGTGTTTTGACAAATATGAATCGAAGTCAACTGAAATGAGGAGGCTTGTGCGTCCAGAATGACACGCAGGGTTTCCCACACTGTCACCTCTAGGCCGTTCTTCTCAGGGACCTATGTAACCAAATTCGTTTCTTAGAAGAAAGAAAAGCCCTCTAGGCATTATGCTGCTTTAATTTTTTAAGATAATTTAGAGTTTGCAAAGTAATCACCCTAAAATTCCAGTGGAATGACATCATTTTAGCCTGCATTTCTATAACTTTTTTCCTTTTTCTAATTTCTTATTTTTATTAATTTTTTTCGTAGAGATGGGGGTGTCCCTATGTTGCCCAGACTGGTTTAGAACTCCTGAGTTCAAGTGATCCTCCCACCTCGGCCTCTCAAAGGGCTAGGATTACAGGCATGAGCCACTGTGCCCGGCCACAGTTTCTCAATGGGCTCACCCTACACGTTTTCTTTAACATCTGACCCATTTTGACTTTGGAATTTTAGGGCAATGAAAACACAGGATCTGGCAGTAGACCCCACTCTAATTGTTCACAGCCCGTGGCCCTGGGACCCCAGAGCGCCAGGGGTCAGACGACACCTGTATGCAGCACCTGCTGTCTGTGAAGCGTACAGTTGCTCCTGAAATGAACACGGTGTGAATTCCTTCTAAACATCTTTGCATTTAGTCTTCCTAATGTAGTCTCTGAATCTCCAGAAGCAGGTGCATGTGCTGAACTGTACACATGTTATCAGAATGACCTTCTTCTGGACACATACGTGTGGGGAGGAGGGCCAGAGACCTTGGTAGAGGGCAGTTTTCCCACAGCATGCTATGAGAACATAGAACTAGGTGCTCCATAAAAATTAGGTGCCAGACAATGAGGGGAGCCCTGAATCGCACCCCCTTCTGGTGGTCACTTGTCACCCTCTCTTCCCCCACCTGAGTGATGTCAGACACAGCCTAGTGGATAGTCAGGACTGTGACCACCACACCGTGACAAGGCCATTCCCAACTGTGGTGTCAGTGAAGACCAAGTGGAGAGCCAGGACTCCTACCCACCCATCCAGCAGTCCTCAGGAGCCCACCCGAAGGTTCCCAGTGGGAAACCTAGACTTCTAACCCTACATGATGGTGACAAGGAGAAGCCTCTCCCTTTTGCTGCTGAAGTGGGGTCAGAGAAAGCCAGTAAACAGAGAAGGATTAAATAATAAGAAAACATTCAGGTTTCAGTAGATAACCACTCATCACACAAAGAACAAGGAAGATTTTTAAATGACAGCACAGGCTGGGTATGATGGCTTATGCCTTGTCTCTGAGCTTTGGGAGGCTGAGGCGAGATCCTTTCAGAACAGAGTTCCAGACCAGCCTGGGCATCTCTACTTTAAAAAAAGAAAAATTCTAAAAAATGAATTAAAGAAGACAATATATGCAACACCAAGGCAACAGAGATGTTAGAATTAGCTGAGAAAAATCTTAAAGCAGCCATGATAAAAATGCTTGAATAGCAATTACAAACAATCCTGAAACAAAAATTAGAAAGCTGCAAACCAAAAGTAGCAATAAACAAATCCACAATCGTAGTTGGAGATCTCGACACTTCTCTCTTAACAATTGATAGAACAACTAAACAAAATTAACATGGATATAGAGGAACTCGGCATCATCAACCAACAGGATGTCGTTGACATTCTAGACTCCTCAACAGAGAATACACTTTCTCTTTAAGTCCCCATGAAATACATATCAAGACAGGCCATATCTTGAGCCATAAAGGAAGTCTTGGCAAATTTAAATAATTTAAATCATACAGAGTGTGTTCTCCAGTCACAACTGAATCAAATTAGATATTTAACGAAGATAACAGGAAAACCTCCTCCAAATAGGAAAGCTGAAAAACATACTTCTAATAACTCATGAATCAAAAAGGAAGTTTCAAGGGAAATTTAAAAAATATATCAAAACTCATGGGACATAGCTAAAACAGTATTAAGAGGAAAATTTATAGCACTAAAAATGCATATTTTGGAAAAGAGGAAAAGTCTCAAAAAACCTAAGCTCTCATCTCACAAACCTAGGAAAAAAAAAAAAAAAGAAAAGCAAATGAAACAAAGCAAAGGTGAGCAAACAACGAAAACAAGCAGAAGAAAGAAATCAACAGATAAGAACCAAAACCGGTGAACTCGAAAACGGAAAAGCAATCGAGAGGACTGGTTCTTTGAAAAGATCAATAAAATTAATAAGCTTGTAGCTAGAGAGGCGTCTGAGATGACTGACAGCAGGAATAAAATAGGGGCTGTCACTACAGACCCTGCAAACATCAAAAAGATAAGGAAGGAAATACTACATGCAATTCTACATGCGTAAACCTTACAACTTAGATAATGGGCTACTTCGTCAAAAATCACAATTCACCCAATTTCAAATAGGTAATGTAAATAGCCTGTAACTATTAAGAAAACTGAGTTCATAATTTTAAATCTTCAATAAAGAAATCTCTAGGCCTGGATGATTTCAAGGGATGATTATACCAAATGTTTAATAAAGAATTAACACTAATTTCTCACCATCTTTTGGAAAATAGAAGAGGAACTGTTTCCCAACTCATAAGACTAGTGTTACCTTTATACCAAAATTAGACAAGGATAGTACAAAAAAGAAAACTACAGATCAATATCCCTCATAAATATAGATGCAAAAACTACAAACAAAATATTGGTAAATTGAATCCAACAAAGTATAAAAAGCAAATGCCAGCCGGGTGCGGTGCCTTATGCCTGTAATCCCAGCACTTTGGGAGGCCGAGGCGGGTGGATCACGAGGTTAAGAGATCGAGACCGTCCTGGTCAACATGGTGAAACCCTGTCTCTACCAAAAATACAAAAAATTAGCTGGGCATGGTGGTGCGTTCCTGTACTCCCAGCTACTCAGGAGGCTGAGGCAGAATTGCCTGAACCCAGGAGGGGGAGGTTGCGGTGAGCCGAGATCACGCCATTGCACTCCAGCCTGGGTAACAAGAGTGAAACTCTGTCTCAAAAAAAAAGCAAATGCCTTGACCAAGTGGGATGTATTCCAGGAATGCAAGGCTGGCTCAGTATTTGAAACTCCATCAGTGTGATCCACCACATTAACAGGCTGAAAGAAAAAAAAACAACACACAATCATATTAATCAATGAAGAAAAGGGATTTTGATGAAATTTAACTTCCATGTGTCAAAAGCTCTCAGCAAACCGGGAGTAGAAGGAAGCCTACTCAACTTGATTAAAAACGTTGGAAAACACCCACGGCTAACAGTAAGCCTGATGGTGAAAGATGGAACTGTTTTACCCCAAGACTGGGAAGAGGGCTCTCTCATTCTTATCCAACATTGCACTGGAAGTTCTAGCTAGAGCAATGAACAAGAAGAGGAAATAAAAAGCATGAATGTCAGAAAGGAAGAAATAAAACTGTCTTTATCTGCAGATAACATGAGTGCATATGTAGGAAATCTCAAAGAATCCATAACAAAACTACAGTTCATAAGTGAGTTTAACAAGGTCTCGGGATATGACATGAAGGTGTGAAAATTCACTGTACATCTATATACTAGCAATAGGCATATGGATATGAAAATTAAAAACACAATGCCAGGCTGGGCACAGTGGCTCATGCCTGTAATCCCAGCACTTTGGGAGGCTGAGGTGGGAGAATCACTTGAGGTCAGGAGTTTGAGACCAACCTGACCAACATGGAGAAACCCCATATCTACTAAAAATACAAAATCAGCTGGGGCATGGTGGCACATGCCTGTAATCCCAGTTACTCAGGAGGCCGAGGCAGGAGAATCGCTTGAACCTGGAGGGCAGAGGTTGCAGTGAGCCAAGATTGCACCACTGCACTCCAGCCTGGGCAAAAAGAGCAAAACTCCATCTCAAAAACACACACACAAAAACCACAATGCCATTTATGATTGCTCAAAACCAAGAGGAATATTTAGGTGTTAATCTAACAAAGCATGTACAGGATTTGCATGCTGAAACCCATGTAGTATTGATGAAAGAAATTAGAGATTGAATAAACAGAGACGCACACCATGTTTATAGCTAGGAAGACAGCGGAGAGATGAATCTCACCGAGTTGATGTATGGGTGTAACATGATTTCTATCAAAATCCAAGCATGGTGTTTTTGGTAGATATATACAAGATTATTTTAAAGTTTATATAGAAAAGCAAAGGAACTGAAATAAGTAAATATTTTCTTGCATATTTTGAACATAGGGTTTTTTGAAAAACAAGAATAAAGTGGGAGGACTCAGTCTACCCAATCTCAAAGCTTATTATGTATCTACAGTAATCAAGATTGTGTGGTCAGAGGGAGACACACAGATCAATGGGACAGAAGAGAGAACTCAGAGGTGGGACCCGCACGATATGAGCAACTGACTTCTGAGAAAAGCGCAAAAGGAATTCGATGAAGGAAAAATGGCCGTTTCAACAAATGGTGCTGAAGCAATTGGATGTCCATTGGCCAAAGGGGGAGGAAAAGGAGTCTCGACCTCTTAAACCTTATACAAAAATTAACTCAGCGTGGATATGAACGTAAATGTAAATTGTAAAACTATAAAGCTTTTAGGAAAAAGATGGGAGAAAATCTTCAAGTTCCAGGGCTAGACAACATCAAAAACACGATCCATAATATTTATATTCCACAAAATTTAAAACTTCTGCCCTGTGAAAGCCCATATAGAAAGGAGGCAGAGACAAGCTATCACTGGGAGAGGATATTCGAAAGCCGTGTGTCTGACAAAGGAGTCGTATGTGGTATCGACAGAATCTCAAGTCTCGTGACAGGAAAGCAAAGAATCCAGTTGTGACACAGTCAGAAGACATGAAGAGACCTGTCACCCAAGAGCACGCACAGATGGCCGTCAGCACGAGCAAAGGCGTTCGTCTACCGTTAGGGAAATGTGAATTAAAACCTTATGGAAATACCCCACACCTGCCGGGAGGGTGGCAGCGCTAAACCCTGGGGAGGACCCTGAGGAGGGAGCTGCTCGCCCTCGCTGGTGGGAACGGGAAATGGCTTGGCCACTCCAGAAAAGAGCTTGCAGGTGTCTTCAAAACTAAATGTGCAATTACTGTGTGACCCAGCATTTATCCCAGAGAAATAGAAACGTGTGTCCACACAGAGGCTACACCGATGTCCACAGCAGCTTCATTCACGATAGCTAAACACGGGAAAAGACCCAGGCGTCCTGCAGCCGGTGAACGGAAACAGGCTGCGGCGCCTCTTCCGCGGAGCACAACTCGGAGGTGAGGAGGGAGTGGCTGACACACCCAGGTGTGGGTGTTCCCGTGGACGACTGTGCTGAGTGAAAGATTCGGACCCTAAAAGGCCACATCCTGTCTGACTCCATTCATACAGCGTTCCTGGAGAAGGGGTGGTTGCCGGGTGTTGAGAAGGACAGGCTGGAGGAACATGGGTGCCATTTGTGAGGGGCCCAGGAGGGTCTCATGGATGGAGGCAGCCTTCGTCTAGACCGTATGGATGTCAGTATCCTCGTTACTTGGCAAGATGCCATCACTACGGGAAACGGAGTGAAGGACCTCTCTGGATTGTTTTTTAACACTGCATGTAAATCTATAATTATCACAAAATAGTTTAATTAGAAAGGGATTTCCAGAGCCAAATGAATTTGGGAAACTGTGTACTTCTTTTTTGAGAGCCACGTTCACCCTGAAATCACTAAGTAAGCTCTGTGATGGGCATATTTAACATATTTTTAACTTTGCTTGTTTAACATATTTAACCTGGTTTAACCAAATGCTTCTCAACATGACCACACGTGGAACAGCCTCCAATCCAATGGGAAACTGTCCTCCTCAGACCCTGCATCTCCGCAGCATCCGCATCACCTGCGGACTTCTTTACAGGTGCACGATCTTGGCCTCTTGAAGCAGAGTCTTTATTCTAGCAAAGTCTCTGGGCAATCTGTGTCCGTAGATGTTTGAGGTGTGGCCCAGGACAGGCAGGGAGACATCAGCAGAGGCGACTTCACTTCACAAAGCTCTGCAGTTGCCCTGATGGGTGAGCAGGCAGGAAGGAGTTAAAGTGATCAGCCCAAGGTCACCAAGGTCACCGCTGTGAAGGGCAGGGCTGGGCCCCTGCAGGGCTCCTGGGATATCACTCAGCTCAAATATTTACTCATGATCCACCTGCCAAAGCTCTCTGGAGGCCATAGGGACCTCGCCTCAGCCTCTTTGGTTGCTACAGAGGACCCTGCACCCAGGTGCAGCCCTGGTGCCCTCCCACAGGTGCCTTTTCTCCTTTGTCGAACATGGTGGGCTGGCGGTCTCAACTTCTGCTCGCTCTGCCATTCTTCCTTTCTGGGATCCTTTGCTTTTTCTCTGTGTGAGTTGGACCCAACACCCTGCTCACATCTCCTCATTCTTCTCCAAACCTTATGTAGTACCTACTGTGTGCTGGAATAAGACAGGCAGGGCCATGCCCTCATGAAGCTGACACTCCTATTGGTGCGACCATCTGCAGGTGTGTCACAGGTGTGTCCCAGGTGTGCCACAAGTGTCTCGGGTATGTCCTACCTGTCCCCCAGGTGCATCCCAGGTGTGTCCCAGCTGTCCCCCAGGTATGTCCCAGGGGTGTCTCAGGTGTGTCCCAGCTGTCCCTGTCTGTCCCAGATGTGCCCCAGGTGGGTCCCAGTTGTCTCCCAGATGTCTCAGGTGTGTTCCAGCTGTCCCCCAGATGTGCCCCAGATGTGCCCCAGGTGTGTCCTAGGTATGCCTCAGATGTGTTTCAGGTGTGCCCCAGCTGCCCCAGGTGTGTCCTAGGTGGATTCCAACTGTGCCTCAGCTGCATTTTAGGTGTTTCAGGCATGGCCCAGGTGTGCTCCAGCTGTCTCAAGTGTGCCCCAGGTGTTCCCCAGCTGTGTTCCAGGTGTGTCCCAGGTGGATTCCAGGTGTGCCCCAGCTCTCAGGTGTGTCACAGGTGTGTCCCAGGTGTGCCCAGGTGTCTCAAGTGTGTCCCAGCTGTCCCCAGATGTGCCCCAGGTGTGCCCCAGCAGTCTCAGCTATCTCAGGTGTGCCCAGGTATGCCCCAGGTGTGCCCCAGGTATGTCCCAGGTGTGCCCCAGCTGCCCCAGGTGTGTCCTGGGTGGGTCCCAAGTGTGCTCCAGCTGCATTTTAGGTATTTCAGGTGTTCCTCAGATGTACTCCAGGTGTGTCCCAGGTGTGCCCCAGGTGTGCTCCAGCTGTCTCAGGTGTGCCCAGGTGTTTCCCCAGCTGTGTCCCAGGTGTGTCTTGGGTGGATTCCAGCTGTACCCCAGCTGTGTCCCGGGTGTGCCCCAGCTGTATTCCACATGTGCCCTTCTGAGTGGAGCCTTGGTTTGGTGTAGCTCTGGGGATCTTCTGCTCCCTGGTGCTGGTGTCACCTGCAACTATCTCTGGGCAATACTGCCTTGCCTGCAAATGCCAGGTGAGTAGAAGAAAAGTGACGGGAGTTGAACCCTCCATAAGAGCTGGTGTCCCCACAGAAAGCTGTTCCCCCCAGGAAGCTTTTCACTGTGGGCTTGTTTCCTCTCTAAATTCCTATTATCAGGTGGTTTTCTTCTCACTTGCTATTTTCTTAAAAATAAAAATGAAATAGAGCAGGGAAAACAGCCTTCATAAATTAAGGTTTCTTCTCGTACCACACTCTCCTGTCCGGCCCCTTGGGAGTGGCTGCGGCAGTTCAGAACACAGCTTTGAGTGCCTCTCCAGCCCGGGGCCCCAGAAGCCTGGGGGTTGTTTGTTCTCAGGGGAAAAGCCACGCGGCCCCTCGGAGGAAGGGGCTGGGCAGAATGTCTAATCGGATTCCAAGCGGCTCAGGGGATTGTCTTTTTCTAGCACCTTCTTGCCTCTCCTAAGCGTCCTCAGTGACCCCAACTGGGATTTAGCCTGGTGCAGTGTCAGCTCTGGGCTCCCAGGGGCTCCCCAGTGGTCCCCAGGCACCCTTGGCACGGCCAGGGCATCTCCCTCGTCCAGCAAGGGCAGGGGCGGGCCACAGGCCAAGGGGAGCAGTCAGGCCTGCTCTGGCTGTGAGTGCCGCAGGCTTGGCCTCGGCCAATGGGCCCTCACGCCTGAGGCGGGCAGGAAGCCAGCTCCGGGATGGATTTCGGGTCCCTGGAGACTGTGGTGGCCAACTCTGCGTTCATCGCCGCCCGAGGCAGCTTTGACGGGAGCAGCTCCCAGTCCTCCCGGGACAAGAAGTACCTGGCCAAGCTCAAGCTGCCCCCGCTGTCCAAGTGTGAGTCCCTCCGCAGCAGCCTCAGCCTGGAGTTCGAGAGCGTGTGCGTGCAGCAGCCCATCGGCAAGAAGCTCTTCTGGCAGTTCCTGCAGTCGGGGGAGAAGCACCTGCCGGCCCTGGAGCTCTGGAAAGACATCGAGGACTACGACACAGTGGACAACGACCTCCGGCCGCAGAAGGCCAAGACCATACTGGCCCAGTACCTGGACCCTCAGGCCAAGCTCTTCTGCAGCTTCCTGGATGAGGGGTCGGTGACCAAGTGTAAGGAAGGGTCTGTGGAGAGCCAAGACAGGCTCTTCCAGCCTGTGCTACAGGCCACCCTGGCACACCTGAGCCAAGCCCCCTTCCAGGAGTACCTGGACAGCCTGCACTTCCTGAGGTTCCTGCAGTGGAAGTGGCTGGAAGCCCAGCCCATGGGGGAGGACTGGTTCCTGGACTTCAGGGTCCTGGGGAAAGGCGGCTTCGGGGAGGTGTCGGCCTGCCAGATGAAGGCCACCGGCAAGCTGTACGCCTGCAAGAAGCTGAACAAAAAGCGGCTGAAGAAGAGGAAGGGCTACCAGGTGAGCCGCACGGCCCAGCTGGCATGGGTGGGAGCAGGGTGGAGAGGGCCCAGGTCGCCCTCAGCGACCGGAGGAGGAAGGGCTACCAGGTGAGCCGCACGGCCCAGCTGGCAGGGGTGGGAGCAGGGTGGAGAGGGCCCAGGTCGTCCTCAGCGGCCCGAGGAGGAAGGGCTACCAGGTGAGACGCACGGCCCAGCTGGCAGGGGTGGGAGCAGGGTGGAGAGGGCCCAGGTCGCCCTCAGCGGCCGGAGGAGGAAGGGCTACCGGGTGAGCCGCATGGCCTAGCTGGCAGGGGTGGGCGCAGGGTGGAGAGGGCCCAGGTCGCCCTCAGCGGCCGGAGGAGGAAGGGCTACCAGGTGAGCCGCACGGCCCAGCTGGCAGGGGTGGGAGCAGGGTGGAGAGGGCCCCCAGGTCGCCCTCAGCAGCTGGTGCCTAAGGCACGCCAGCCTCGACACTGGGATCCCTGTGACCATGCGCTCACAGGCAGTTAGCATCCGTCTCCCTTGGAGAGTGGCTTCCACGTTTTTGGGTGGGGATGTGTCACGTTCAGTTGTCAGTTTTTCACCAGTCACAGAATAGATGGAAAGAGGGCCTCGCAGAGGAGGCTGTGGACGGCGGGGGTCTCCGGATTCTTTGTCCTGACTGCGGAAGACTTTCTGTCCCTGGCTCTGATCATAGCAGAGAATGCAGGAGGAACTGAGGCAGGATGGAGGCGGAGGCAGCCTCGCTCTGATGACTCGTTTGTGTGAGACGGACGGAGCCTGGTGTGATGCCAGGTGCAGGGACTGTTTCCCCGAGTGTGGCTGTTCTCTGGGGTGGGAGTGAGTGACAGGCATGCCGGTGGTGCTGAGTTTCATCCGCTCTGCCCCGCTGGCGTCAGACTGTGCATCTGGGCCAGGATCAGCAGAAGCTGCTTACAGGTCTTAAGGGCAAGATGCAGTGGCCGTGCCGGGCGTGGATGTGATCTCCTGAGCCAGCCCCCTGCACTTCGGCTCCACGAGGCTCCTGGCCTCTCTCCTACCGCGCAGCCATGTTGAGGGCACGGGAAGCTCTCAGGGCAAAGCAGCAGCTGCTGTGCACCCTGGCTCTGCAGGCCCTCAGCCCTGAGTGAAGGCAAAATATCAGGTGCTCGTGGCGCTGGGCAGAGGCCCCGGAACACCTGGGTGTTCTCACCGTGGAACTCAGGGGGAGTAGCCGTGCCGTGTGCTTGTAGCAGTGATTCTAAAAATGAGCTTTCTTGACATCTGATTCTCACACCATGCCATTCACATCTACCTGTCAGTTTAACCCAACAATTAGCCTCTTCTCCTGACTTCGGTCACCTGACTGAACTTCATACTGAGACCAACTGAACACCTCCCCATGAAGTGCAGACAGAGGGGCCTCCTCCTCTAGCCGCAATTCCTTCTTCAAAGAGGGGTGTGCTGTCCTGACCCACACACTTATAGGTTGAGCATCAACCTGTAAGTTGGAGCATCGTGAGGTCTCACAGACAAAATAAAGCAGAGTCGTGAGGAGGTTTGGGAGGCGCTGGGCTGTGAGCCCAGCCCCCGGGGCCAGGACGAGAGGGGGCTGTGGCTGCAGGACTGCTGGGCAGGCCAGGCTGCTGGCGTCCTCATCCGTGTTGCTCAGCCTTGGGCTCGAGCCTCACCTTGCCGGAGGCTGGCCCAGAAGGCCAGAAGCCCCTGTATGTGAAGGATTTCACATGTGTGATTTTCTGATATAGGGGTGCGGGCATGTTTTGAAGTCCTTTGCAATTGCTTTGTGAAAGCTGCATTTAAAGTGTGTTTGCAACTCTGTTTAGTGGCTGTGGGTGCAGTGGGCATGGCCGTGTGCACACGGTCTCTGCGATGCCCTGGCCCCTTTCCTGTTCAAAGCCAGCACTGATGCAACATCTCACTTTTCAGGGTGCTATGGTGGAGAAGAAGATTCTGATGAAGGTGCACAACAGGTTCATCGTGTCTCTGGCATACGCATTTGAAACCAAAGCCGACCTCTGTCTAGTGATGACCATCATGAACGGAGGCGACCTCAGGTAAGGGCTGGTCAGGAAGGTGCCAGGGGACCTGCTTTCCCACTGTGTCAGGGTTTCCAGGGTCTGATGGGGCTGCTTCCCATGTGCAGAGCCATGGCAGCCAAGCCCTGCCCTCAAGGGAAAGCCTTGCCCCCATCACAGTCCCCTTCTCACTGTCTGCAGGCGCTGGTCCCTGAAACAATGCACCTCGGACCCACGTCAGTGCAGGAGCCCGGGAGGTGCCCAACCTGCCAGTCAGGGCACATCCTGTGTGCACCCTGGTGTGTGGGGGGCAGGTGGTGCCTCAGGGGACAAATGATGCAGTGGGGGGGCCTCTGCAGGGCTGGGGGCCTTGCACCAGGAGGGTAAATGAAGATGGACTTCACCAGCACCCACTCGTAGGGCTGACGCCGGAGCTGGAGACAAGACCAATTGGGGGCCGTGGCTTTGCTGTGCCCTGGCAGAGAGGAGGTGCCACTGCCTCCACAAAGTCCTGGCCCCAGATCTGCCTCTGAGGCAGGCCCCAGGCCCGGGTGGGAGATCAGATCTCAGGCTCGCAGTGGGGCAGAGACCTGCTTGGTACCTGGCCCTTGGCCACTGCTTGCTCTGTTTTCTGGTCTGTACGGTGGGGAGAGATAATACTTATGTTCAAAGATTGTTGGAAGATTCAGACAACGTGTGTGAAATACCCAGAGTGTCTGGTACCTGTAAGGGGGGGCTGGGCCATGGCTGTGGTTGGCAGCACTGTGCCCCATTCTCACCTGCTTTTAATTTCCAAGGAAACTACTCCAGGTGAGGCTGGCAGCCCCATTGTTCAGATGAGGAATGTGAGTCCAGACTAAGTCACCACACAAGGCACCTAGAGAGAGGAGGGGAGGGGAGAGGGCCCTGGGAAGGGGAGTCACAGGGGTGCCCAGGTGGAGGGGAGGGGAGAGGGCCCTGGGAAGGGGAGTCACAGGGGTGCCCAGGTGGAGGGGAGGAGAGGTGGCACTGCAAAGCAGGCACAGGTGTGCCCAGGTGGAGGGGAGGGGAGAGGGCCCTGGGAAGGGGAGTCACAGGGGTGCTCAGGCGGAGGGGAGAGGGCACTGTGAAGCAGACACAGGGGTGCCCAGGCAGAGGGGAGGGGACGCTGGGAAGGGGAGTCACAGGGGTGCCCAGGGTTTTGCTTGTTAGGTTTTGCTTCTCTGCAGAACCTGTCAGTGGAAAACATAAAACTGATGTGTTTCGGGGTAAGGAAGAGGCTGAGAAGAAAAATCTTCCTGCAAATCCTTCATACGTCCGAGGAGCTCGGGCCTGTGGAGCTGCGTCCCACCTCGTCCCAGCCCCTTCCTGAGATGGCTTGGGCTGTTTCCCAGCACCTGCGTCCAGGGCTGGGCAGCCGGGGACCGGAGACACACAGGGACAGCCCTTTCTCCCCATTAGCAGTTGTAGTTCAGGGTCCTGAGGTGCTAAGGCCGCCAGCCACCGTGGCCCCGGTGTGCGGGGGCCAGGCCTCAAAACGACCAGAATGCTGGCCGAGCCGTGGTTCTGAGGCTCCCACTCTGTCTTTCCCTGATGTCACTCCCCATTAAACCCTGGGCGCACGGCGCCCGCCTGTCTGCCCCCAGGTACCACATCTACAATGTGAACGAGGAGAACCCTGGCTTCCCCGAGCCGCGCGCCATCTTCTACACGGGACAGATCATCTGTGGCCTGGAGCATCTGCACCAGCGGAGGATCGTCTACCGTGACCTCAAGCCCGAGAACGTCCTGCTGGACAACGACGGTAGGTGCCACCGTGCCTGTGGCTGGGGGGGATGGGCTCTGAGGAAGGGCGGGCGCGGCTTCCCTGGAGGGCTCTGCATGAACCTCACGAGGGCAGCGGTTGCATGGCTAGGGTGGGGGATGTCATGGACACCAAGTCACAGGGGTGAGCACAGGGGCCTGCAGTGCAGAACCTGCCGGAAATGGCGTCTGTTATGCCCTGTCCTCACTGTGCCACCCTGTGCCTTCTGCTGGGATGAGCGTCACAGAGGGACACATCTCAGAAATAAACACGAGGGTTTAGGCTCCCGACACTGGCAGGTCAGGCAAGCGCCAGACGCACGCGAGGGGCCTGAGAGAGCGCGGGGAGCAGAGGGCGACGAGAGGAACTCAGTGGGCAACACCTGTACCCAGCAGCCCAGCTGCAGCTTGGCCAGCCCCTTCCCTATACCCTGCGCCCGCTGCCGTCAGCCAGGGAGCTGCTGTCGTGGGCGCGACATGTGCTGTGTATGTGTATGTGTATGTGGCTTGTGGGGCGTGTCTGCGTGTGTGTTGTGTGTGTGTGGTGTCTGTGGTATGTGTGATGTGGTCTGTGTGGTGTCCGTGGTTTGTGTGTGTGTGTGGTATCTGTGGTGTGGTCTGTGTGGTGTCCGTGGTTTGTGTGTGGTGTGTGTGTGTGTGTGGTGTGTGTGGATGTGTGTGGTGTGTGGTGGGGTCTGTGTGGTATCTGTGTTTTGTGTGTGGTGTAATATGTGTGGTATGTGGGGTGTGGGGTGTGTGGTGTGATCTGTGTGGTGTGTGTAGTATGTGGTATGTGTGTTTGTGTGGTGTCCGTGGTGTGTAGTGTCTGTGGTTTGTGTGTGGTGTGTGTGGTGTACATGTCTGTGTGGTGTCTGTGGTTTGTGTGTGGTATGATCTGTATGGTGTGTGGTCTGTGTGATGTGTATGTGGTGTGGTCTGTGTGGTGTGTGTGGTGTGTGGTGTATGTGGTTTGTGTATGGTATGATCTGCGTGGTTTGTGTGTCTGTGTGATGTCTGTGGTTTGTGTGGTGTGGTCTGTGTGGTGTGTGGTGTGTGTGGTGTGATCTGTGTGGTGTGTGGTGTCTGTGGTGTGTGTGTTGTGGTCTGTGTGGTGTATAGTGTCTGTGGTGTGTGTGTTGTGGTCTGTGTGGTGTATGGTGTCCATGGAGTGTGGTGTGGTCTGTGTGGTGTCTGTGGTGTGTGTGTTGTGATCTGTGTGGTGTGTGGTGTCTGTGGTTTGTGTGTGGTGTGATCTGCATGGTGTGTGGTGTCTGTGGTGTGTGTGGTGTGATGTGTGTGGTCTGTGTGGTGTGTGATGTGTGTGTAGTGTGTGGTGTGGTCTGTATGGTGTATGGTGTCCGTGGAGTGTGGTGTGTGTGGCGTCTGTGGTGTGTGTGATGTGGTCTGTGTGGTGTCTGTGGTTTGTGTGTGGTGTGATCTGTGTGGTGTGTGGTGTCTGTGGTGTGTGTGTTGTGATGTGTGTGGTGTGTGTGGTGTGTGTGGTGTGTGTGTCTATGTGGTGTCTGTGGTTTGTGTGTGGTATGATCTGTGTGGTGTATGGTGTGTGATATGTGTGGTGTGGTGTGTGGTTTGTGTGGTGTGGTCTGTGTGATCTGTATGGTGTGTGTGTCTGTGTGGTGTGTGTCATGTGTGCATGTGCGTGTTTGTGCAAGGGTGGCTCTGGGCCCGCCGGCACCTGTCCTGTGCAGCCAGGGGTGACTCTGCTGTGTCTGCCTCTCAGGCAATGTCCGGATCTCTGACCTTGGGCTGGCCGTGGAGCTGCTGGAGGGGCAGAGCAAGACCAAGGGCTATGCAGGGACCCCAGGTAAGGGTCTGAGCTCCGCTGGCGAGGCTCGGTGCATGCATCCCCATGTACGTGTGTGCCGGTGTACACCGCGCACGCATGTGAGTTTGTGCATATATTTGTGTGTGCACGTGGCATCTGTGTGTGCCTGTGCCTGAGGGTGTCTGTATGCATGTGTCTGTGGTTGTGCATTATGTGTATGTGAGCGTTGTGGACCCTGAAAATCAGAGACAGGTCTCAGTTAATTTGGAAAGTGTATTTTGCCAAGGTTGAGGATGCACGCCCGTGTGCCCAGGGTGCTCACAGCACAGTTTGGTTTCGTACATTTTACGGAGACATGAGATGTCAATCAGCATACGTAAGATGACCATTGGCTCCGTCTAGCAAGGAAGCCCAACTCGAGGCAAAGTCGGGACAACTCAAAACCGGGGAGTGGGGTGGGCTTCCAGGTCCCAGGTAGATAAGAGACGAATGTTTGCATTCTTCTGAGTTTCCGATTAGTCTCTCCAAAGGAGGCAATCAAATAAGCGTTTATCTCAGTGAGCAGAGCCTGTGAGCAGAATGGGAGGCAGGTTTGCCATAAGCAGTTCCCTGCTGGACTTTTCCCTTTTGTTTAGTGATTTTGGGCACCAAGATATTTTCCATTTACAGCGTGCATGTGTGCTGTGTGTGCATTCCCGTGTCCTGTGCACACATGTGTGTGCATAACTGCATCTGTGCACATGTGTGTGTGTCTCTGTGCACACGTGTGTGCCTGTGTCTCTGTGCACACGTGTGTGTTTGTGTGCATGTGTGTCTGTGTGCCTATGTGCATGTGTGTGTGTCTATGTGCCTGTGTATGCATGCCTGCGTCTCTGTGCATACACGTGTCTGTGTGCATGTGTGTGTGTGCCTGTGCACCTGTGTGTGCATGCCTGGGTCTCTTTGCACACGTGTGTCCATGTGCCTATGTGTGAGTGCACATGCACGGTGCATCCTGCTGCCTCCCCCATCCCATCTCACTCATCTCCTCTCACCTCCCCCCAGGCAGGGAGGCTCGCAGCAGCTGCAGAGGTGAGGGGACCCCACAGCCAAGCAGAGTGGGGTCTGTGTCCCGGGCCTAGCACCTGCTGGCATGTGGCCTGTGTGCTTTACTTGACCTCTGGGCCTCCTGCTGGCACTGGGCGGACAGCCTTGCTGAGGAGACCTCGCGCGCCACGTGCCCAGCACCTGCGTACAGCAGCCGCACTCTGAATCTCAGTGCCTCCTCTCTCCTCCGCAGTCTTGAGGGTCCGCGTGTTGGGGCTCACTTCTGCTGGGATTTCTAGAAAGTGTCCCTTCCCCATGATTGCTCTGGCTTTGGGGAGGCGGTGCTGTCACCTGATGGGGTTTGTGTGCGGTGGTGATTCGGTCCTTCCATGCTGGTGCTTAGGCACGGGGCGTGTTTGTGCCGTGGCCATGGCAGGGCCATCCTCGCCGCAGCTGGACTCAGGGGAAGGTGCATCTCTTCCCTGAAGGGATGAGGGCTAAGGACTGTTTTCCTAAAGTTCTGAGGAAGGGCAGTGCCACATCCACCCGGCACAGCTGTGTGGCAGTCTGGAAGTAGGGTTCAGTAGCCACTGAGTGCACATGTCTGTGTGTGCTAGTGTGCCCGTGTGTGCCTGTGTGTACCTGTGTACCTGTTTGTATTAGGGCTCTGTGCAAGTCACCCAGTGGTGGAAGGTCTGAGAGCTTTCTGGAAGGTGGCTCATCCTGGGGATCCCACGGCTGGAAGCCTTGGGTGGCACCTGCTTTTCATGAGATGATCCAAGCCTCTCTGGGTGGGCACTGTGCCCCTGGGGTCTTTGGGACCCTTGCCAAGCCTGGGTTTGAGTGCGTGGGTGGAAGCCCCCTCACACATTTTGGGGAGATCCAGGTGGCCCCTGAGGTCAGGACGTGAAGGGTTAACGTCACAGATGCAAAGGTCCTAGCTTTGAATGTGAGTGTGAGGGCCCAGCTGACCACCAGGGGGCTCCACGCCTTCACTGGTGCATGTTCCTCGGAGTGCCAGGTGCACAAAGGACCTCCCAGCATGTCTCTGTCACCCAGTGCTGCCAGGCCGGGCTCAGGGCTCAGGCTGTGACCAGTCCCCCTTGCCAGTGCTGTGCAGCCCAGGGCAGAAGCAGGGCAAGGCCGTCACTGCACAGTCCTCAGTCTCCACCCGGGGCAGGAAGTGCTGAGGGGCAGGAGAATTTGTGAACAGAGCAGATGGAGCTGGCTCCCTCATGCTTGCTGTAATATTTATTGGCTGCTTCGTGGCTGCAGGTCCCTCGGGAGACCTGGGGCACAAGCAGACGCCGTCTGGCTGCATGGTGGGGGTCAGGCCAGGAGGGCTGGGGGCTGCTTGGCCCAGGAGCCGAGGGAGCCCTGTGGTCTGGTGGGCCCTGCTCATGCACTTTGGAGCTGGAAAGGCTCTGGGTTGGTCTGGAGGCCGAGATCGTGTGAGCAGCTCTGGGTTGTCTGGATGTTGTGATCGTCTGAGCAGCTCTAGGTTGTCTGGTTGTTGTGATTGTGTGAGCAGCTCTGGGTTGTCTGGTTGTTGTGATCGTGTAAGGAGCTCTGGGTTGTCTGGATGTTTTGATCGTGTGAGCAGCTCTGGGTTGTCTGGAGGCTGTGATCGTGTCAGCAGTTCCTCCCTGAAGTCTGGGCAGAATTCCGATGTCCCGGACTAGCTGGGCATAGTCAGGGTCTGCAGCTGTGTGTGGAAGATGGTTCCTACGACATTTCTGGGGAAAAAGGATTCTGTGGCCACATCAGCCTGGCCCTGGGGCACAATGAAGGGCCAGGAAGGACCTTGACTCAGAAGTGTCAAAACTGACCATCCCCAGGAGCCCCCAAACCCCAGCCTGCAGCCCGTGCCTGGTTTCTGGATGTCAGTCAGGTCATTGGACTGTGTGCTGGACCTTGACTCAGAAATGTTGAAACTGACCAGCCCCAGAAGCCCCCATGCCCCAGCCTGCGGCCCCTGCCCAGTGCAAGGACGTCAGTCATGGGCTGTCGGACTGGCCTGCCCACCACTGTGTGCCTGGCTGGCCTCACTTTGGTGGCAGCTGGGGAACTGACATGGCTCATGTATGCCCTATGTGCCACACGGAGCTGGCTCACGGGGGCGGCAGGCAGGCGCCTGAACTTCTCCTGGAGTCTGACTCACCAGAGTAGACATCTGCCAAGGACCCTGTCTGGTGAGCATGTAGCTGCATCTGGAGTGAGGGCCTGGAGCTCGTGGCTGTGGCCACTGGAGATGAGGGCAGAGTGCTCAGGGAGAAGGCCCATGGCCTGTGAGTTGTGGGCTGTGGGTTGTGCGCTGTGGGCAGTGGGCTGTGGGCTGTGGCCTGTAGTCAGTGGTCTCTGGGCTGTGGCCTGGGGACTGTGGGTTGTGGCCTATGGGCAGTGGGCTGTGGGCTGTAGCCTATGGGCAGTGGCCTGTGGGCTGTGGGCTATGGGCTGTAGGCTATGGGCCATGGCTTTGGGTTGTTGACTATGGGCAGTGGGCTGTGGCCTGTGGCCTGGGTTGTGGGCTGTGGACTGTGGACTGTGGCCTGGGCTATGAGCTGTGGACTGTGGACTGAGCTCTGGGCTGTGGCCTTGGACAAGTTTCTGCACATCCCTGTCCGTGGGCTGGGCATGAGTACCCATGGTGAGCCGCTGTGCCCAGCACTCAGGGCAGGCTAGAACAAGTGCTGTGCTCATCACCATGGCAGCATCGTGGCAGGGCCCGGAGAGTCTGTGGCCATCGCTCAGAGATGCCCCAGCTCAGTGGAGCAGGCCCAGGGCTGGACCAGGGAAGCCGCTGAGCTGAGGTAGGCAGGATCCGTGGTTTCTGCTCTGGAGGGGAAACTTGCTTACAAGGAGAGGGAAGCCTCAGCATGTGGCTATGGTCTTGAACCTCATCCCTATGAAGGAGGGATGCTCTGGAGGCAGTGAAAGGGTCGGGGAGGTCACAGCCTGGCTGGCAGGGTCTGCAGGGAGCCATAAGAGGTGGACAAGGCCAAGCAGGTGTGCAAGCCTCATGCAGAGGTGGTGAGGAGAGGAGAGGACCCCGTGCCAGCCTGAGCACTGCGGGGTCCTGGAGGCTGCAGCCCACACTGGATTCCATCTTCTCTGTGAGGAGCAGCTGGGGAAGGGCTCGGGAGGTGCGTGGCTTAGGCCGCGGTGATGGGGGAGGGCGCCTTTAGGGTGGCAGAGGACTCATGGTGAGACTGTGGGACTAGGGAGAGAACTTGGCTTCAGCAAACTAGATGCGTGTGAGCCTGACCTGGCTTCCAGGCACGAACCTAGAGCAGGGATGCTTGTGGGTGTGGAAGTCCTGACCCCCAAGAACTGCCTCAATGTTAATAAGACCCCAACAGGTGCATGAGCAAGGCTGAGGCCCCTTCGGTCCCTGAGCAGCTGGTGGAACCAGAGCACAGGGCGGGGAGTGGAAAGTGTCTGGAATTGAGTAAGTGTTGGGAACTCAGAGACTCTGTGAACAAAGTTGGTGGCTGAACACACATGACATTTGCTTTCCCTCCTGAAGTCCTGGGATGGGGCAGTGAAGGGAGAGCATGAGCAGCAGTGTCACAACTGCTGGAGGACCGACGGGTGAGGGGAGCCAGCGGCCACACAGGAAGCAGAAGGCTATGCTTCTGCCGGAGCCCTCAGTGGCACGGAACTGACAGTGCCTGGCACCCTGGTGTCTGTGCAAAGGTCGTCTTGGTAGATGAATGACTGAGTGAGAGAAGCTGCGCCCAGAGCCATCCCTCCATCCCAAGATGGTCCTCCTGCACCCAGAGCCATCCTCCGTCCCGAGATGGTCCCCATAGCTGCACCCAGAAGCTGTCCCTCCATCCTGAGATGGTCCCCAGAGGCCGCGCCCAGAGCCGTCCCTCCATCCTGAGATGGTCCTCACAGCTGCACCCAGAGCCGTCCCTCCATCCTGAGATGGTCCCCATAGCTGCACCCAGAGTTGTCCCTCCATCCCGAATGGCCTCACAGCTGCACCCAGAGCGTCCCTCCATCCGGAGATGGTCCCCATAGCTGCACCCCAGAGCCATCCCTCCATCCCGAGATGGTCCTCACAGCTGCTCTCAGAGCCATCCCTCCATCCCGAGATGGTCCTCACAGCTGCACTCAGAGCTATCCCTCCATCCTGAGACTGGTCCTCACAGCTGCACCCAGAGCCGTCCCTCCATCCTGAGATGGTCTCCCCATAGCTGCGCCCAGAGTCGTCCCTCCATCCGAGATGGTCCTCACAGCTGCTCCCAGAGCTGTCCCTCCATCCTGAGATGGTCCTTACAGCTGCTCCCAGAGCCGTCCCTCCATCCGAGAGTGGTCCTCACAGCTGCACCCAGAGCCATCCCTCCATCCCGAGATGGTCCTCACATGCTGCACCCAGAGCCATCCCTACCATCCCGAGTAGGTCTCACAGGCTGCACCCAGAGCTATCCCTCCATCCTGAGATGGTCTCACGCTGCACCCAGAGCCATCCCTTCATGCTGAGATGGTCCTCACAGCTGCTCCCAGAGCCATCCCTCCATCCCGAGATGGTCCTCACAGCTGCACCCAGAGCCGTCCCTCCATCCTGAGATGGTCCTCACAGCTCTGCACCCAGAGCCGTCCCTCCATCCTGAGTGGTCCCCCATAGCCTGCACCAAGAACCGTCCCTCCATCCTGAGAGGATCCTCACAGCTGCACCCAGAGCCGTCCCTCCATCCTGAGAGGGTCCTCACAGCTGCACCCAGAGCCGTCCCTCCATCCTGAGATGGTCCTCACAGCTGCACCCAGAGCCGTCCCTCCATCCTGAGAGGGTCCTCACAGCTGCTCCCAGAGCCGTCCCTCCATCCCGAGATTGGTCCTCACAGCTACTCCCAGAGCCATCCCTCCATCCTGAGATGGTCCACATAGCTGCCCCAGAGCTGTCCTTCCATTCTGAGATGGTCCTCACAGCTGCACCCAGAGCCGTCCCTCCATCCCAACAGTCCCCTTCAGCTAAGAGCCTTCCTGGCAGCAGACTAGGGCTGCCTCTCTGGAGAGGGACACCACCCAGAGCTCTCCTGGGACACTGGACAACTGGGGAATAGGCCAGCAGCTCAGGAAGGGAGAAACCAGTGGCTGGTTCCCCCAGACCTTTTCTCCAACTTGGTTCTGAGAATATGGAGGACCTGCCTTTGCATAATCTGACCAGCTAGAGAGGAAAATTCAGAAGATAGTGATGTTGGGACTCTCCTGAGTAAGAGTCCAGGAAGGCTGCCTCCGTGTGGCCACAACCCACAAGCCTCACCCTGTGCACCGCACCTGTAGTGGGCATGAAGCATTTTTGGTTGTTACAGCCTGGGGTGGGTGCTGCTGTCACCCAGTGGGCAGAACCTGGGGTGCTGGTAACGCTCAGGGCAGCCCAGCAACAGAAGACTTTCTGGCCCCAAATATGGAGAGTGCTGGGGTCCTGGGGGACGTATCCTGGGAGCATCAGTTCTGAGATGGCCGGGACAAGCACCCGCCAGGGACCTGGCCGCCTCTGAACCTCAATGTCCCTTACTGGCAGGTTTCATGGCCCCCGAGCTCCTGCGGGGTGAGGAGGTACGACTTCTCCGTGGACTACTTTGCCCTGGGGGTCACCTTGTATGAGATGATTGCAGCCAGAGGACCCTTCCGAGCGCGTGGAGAGAAGGTAGGAGGTGGCCCGCAGGTGTCTCTGCAGCTGCCCTGGCTCTCATTGGGGATGGGGCAGCGATGGGGTCTGTTACTGGGGTTGGCCTGGGAGTTGTTCTGTGGGGCCTGGGAGGGGGCACAGACTCACATCCTGGGGTCTCACTCCTGGGTGATGCTGTTCTGTCTTGATGGGTGATGCTCCCAAGGCCTGCAGGGGGAGGGGCTGCGGGACTCCAAGTCACCCTGTGCCCCAGAGCGAGCAGACCCTCCCACTGCAGAGCACGCCACCACTCAGCCTCTGAGGGCCCTGCTGGGGTTGGTGCCTCCTTGCGGGCCAGAGGAGGGAGGGTGACTTATCGCACCGTGGCCCTGGACCCTGGGGAGGGGGCAAACCTTCATGGGGTGGGGCCTGACTCTCTAGACACTGCTGAGGCCCGGGCTCTTGGGAACATGGTGGTAGGTCTCATCCCTCGCGGTTGCAGAAGAACTGGCTCCCCTTCTCCTCAGATGCCAAGAACCCGCTGCCCACTATGGGGCCAACTGCTCTGAATGTCCGGGAGTGTGGACACCTAGGGGGCAGCCAGGTCTCCTCTGAGTGCCTCCCGGGGTGCCCCCCGGCTCCCAGGGCCACCAGAATCGCAAACATTGGGAGGTGCCAGTCCCCTATTCGAGACAAGTGGAGCAAAGCTGGCTTTTTCTCTGGGAGAGGGACTCAGAGCTCAGGGCTGCGGCTGCCTTTCATTTGACCAAGGGAGTGGCCAACAGAGCCAGGAGGCGCCGTCTCAGAGTCCCATTGGCCTGCCTTGAGGTGCGGCCCTTCCCTGCCCACCTCCACACCACCTGGGCCCTGCCCACCCCTCTCTCTCCTGATCTCCCTGGACGTGTGGCCCCTTTTAGAGCAGAGTGGTTTCAGGACACTCACATGCCAGTGGTCACTCTGTGTCTGTGGGACGTGGTGCAGGGGTGGGCTGCCAGGGCAAGGGGACGTGTGTGGGAGGGGCATCGATGGCCTGACCCGGGGGCCTTGGGGGCTGAGCAGTGCCTTTCACACTGTGCCCGCTGGCAGGGCCTCTGTGGTGTGGAAGGGAGACCTCAGCGGAGCTCCTGAAGACGACAGAGGCACTGCGGCCTTCTGTCCACCAGAGCGGAGTGAAAACGGAGGCTGCTTCTTGGCTGGGCCCATGCCAGCCTCGGTTTCCTGTCGATGCTGCTGCTTCCCTCTGTGGGTGTGGCTGTGCCAGGGGTGGGTCAGCCAGAGTTCCCAAAATGCACGGCACTCACATGTGGCTCCTGGGAGCTTCGCATTTTGGATTCCATTCCTGAGACTGGAGCCTCAAGCGCTGCTGTGCTGGGGAAGGACACAAGGCCTCCCAGGTCCCCCACCTGCATGGGAGGAGCTGTGGTCTGGTCTGACCACCCAAGAGGAGGGGGTCCAGCAGGCCTGAGGTGACGCGTGTCCCTGCAGGTGGAGAACAAGGAGCTGAAACAGCGGATCCTCGAGGAACCTGTGAAGTACCCTGACAAGTTCAGCCAGGCCAGCAAGGACTTCTGCCAGGCGTTGCTAGAGAAGGACCCGGAGAAGCGCCTGGGGTTCCAAGACGAGACCTGCGACAGGCTCCGTGCCCACCCCCTCTTTAAGGACATTAACTGGAGGCAGCTGGAGGCCGGTACTGCTGGACGCGTCAGCCCCGGGGAGGGCAGGGGTCTGTGTTGCATGGCCCTCGGGGGTCTGCCCGGTCCAGAGTGCGAGAGTCGTCAGGGAGGATGCCTGAGACCCCTGAGGCTTTACCTCTGCCCCCAGCAAGGCCCCCAGTCCTCCACTCATCCTCCTAGCCCCAGGACAAGCCGATGGAGCTGGCATCAGGCTGGAGGGCGATGGGAGGCAGGAAACACACTGGCTGCACTGTGGCCTCAAGACCCAAACCTTCTGCCATGTGCCCCAGTACTGAAGGGAGCCCGAGATCACATGGAGTCTGGTGGCTCAGGCTGGCGACCGAGGAGAAAGTCCCCACCCAGCAGCACATGCTTAGTTGATGTGCAAGATATTTTGTATGTGTGTGCATGTGTGTGTGTGCGTGTGCATGTGTGCCTCTGTTCATGCACTAGTGTGTCTGAGACACAGCTGTGCCCTCTAGGACCCTGTGATCAGGTGGAAGGGGTAGGCCACGTGCACAGTGTAGCTGACTCAGGTGAGGACAGGGCCATGGGTGAGTAGGGAGCAGATGCTCTGAAGGAGAAGTTGCTTCCGTGAATCAAGGGCTGCAGCAGTGACTGCCAGACAGTGCCCTAGGCAGGCCCAGCGAGGCAAGGATGGCTGTGGCCAGGGAACCCAAGGGGCTCCAAGGGTTACAGGGCAAGGAGGGGCCAGGCCTGCCCCATAAGGAAGTCTAAGCCACAGAAGGGTTTGAGCCCAGAGTGGTGAGGCTGAGGAGGAACTGAGAGGAGGAAGCACGTGGCGGCTGTGTTCACCAGCGTTGGCAGATGGTCCTGAGGCTGCCGCAGAGGCCGTCTGGTGGCCAGCATGGGCCGGCCGGGTCAGGGTCAGTGCACTGAGAGGAGAGGTCCACCCGCCCGCTGGGGATGTCTATGGCCCACTCTGTGTCTGCCCATCGGGGGCCGGGGTGCGTCAGGGAGGGATGCTGGTTTGGGAGGGAGCTGCCAAGTTCACTGGAGCGTGTGCTCGAGTGCCTGGTGTCCAGGGTCTTCAGAGTGGGCAGGGGAAGCCCCGGTGGGGACGGGGTCCCAGGGAAGGGGTACTGGGGGAGGAGACCGCTTTGTGACAAGGCTTTACCGGAGGCTCCCGAGGAGGCAGACGGGTGTGCTGGCTCCTTTCACAAGAAGCCTCCAAAATGGGCCGTGGGACCTGGGGCCTCTTCCAGCTACTCACGCCCCAACTGCGTGGTCTCAGGGGAACCCAAGGCCTTCCAGGCACACTGGGTTTTCTCTGTCAGCTGCTGAGACACTTCCCCAGGGAAGAGTGGCCCCAGGCCTCTGTGCATCTCGGAGCTGCTGGGGGAGGCTTTTTGGCGAAACGGCACTTCCTACCCTGCGCGACGTGCCTTTCGCCTGTGTTTTTTGTCTCCCACAGGGATGCTGATACCCCCTTTCATCCCAGACTCCAAAACCGTCTACGCAAAGGACATTCAGGACGTGGGTGCCTTTTCCACCGTCAAAGGTGTGGCCTTTGACAAAACAGACACAGAGTTCTTTCAGGAATTTGCCACTGGCAACTGCCCCATCCCTTGGCAGGAGGAGATGATTGAGACGGGCATCTTCGGTGAGCTGAACGTGTGGCGCTCGGACGGTCAGATGCCAGATGACATGAAGGGCATCTCCAGGGACTCCAGCTCCTCCTCCAAGTCAGGGATGTGTCTGGTTTCCTAGGCGACGCTCCAGAGCCCACGTGGAGGAAAAGGACCCGCAGGGCTCGGTGGGGGCTGCCTGCCTCCGTGGTGCCAGCCTGGGGTCTGCCAGCGAGGGGACACGCAGCTCCACCCAGGTCCCCATCATGCTGGCTCCTTGCCGCCCAAGGAGGAGAAAGTGTGAATCAGCTTGCAAAGCCACCCGACGCCCACCCTGGTGCTGTGAGCCCCGGAATGAATAGTCCACTCATTCTGCTCCATTTTACTAACAAGACCTAAGCTGCTCTCCAGAATAAATAAGCCAAAAATCTGCAAACTCTCAGGGAGCCTCCAGCACCAGTGAGCGAACGACCGTGCGGTCAGGACGGAGACTTGGCTTGGGCCTCCCAAGACCTTTGCCATCGGCTTCCCAGAGGGAGCCATGTTCCTCAGCAGGAGGTGTGCTGTGGCCAGGTCAGGGGTTGGTGACCCCTGGCTGCAGCCCCGAGCCCCACTGGGGAGGGGCAGACCGCAGCCTCCGCCGGGTCTCTCTGTGCAGGCTCCTGCCCTCAGGGTGAGAAGTACAACTTCCCACAGATCCCAAGTCGGCCATGCTGTTGGGTGAGGAGCGTGTCTTCCCACAGATACCAGGTCAGCCGCACCCCAGGGTTAGGAGGACATCTCCCACAGATGCCAGCAGAGCTCCAAGTGGGCTGGTTTTGTGGAGACTTTGATGTGTCCTGTGGAGGCGCCTCCTGCGCCTGGAGACTGTCCTTGGGAAGCAAACCTCGACTGCACGATAAACCTGGCCTCTGAGCGTCTGATGTTTCTGAGACCTGGGTGTTCGGGAGGAGCGGTGGCGTGACTGGTGCTTCTTGACCTAAATCTGTCCATCCAGGTGCACCTGAGCAGGCCCGGGGGAGGCCCGTGGGAGGCCCGTGGGAATGGGTTTCTGTGCCTGCTCTTTCCCCTTCCTGTTTTGTTTTCCTTTTTTATTTTGAGATGGAGTCTTGCTCTGTCACCCAGGCTGGAAGGCAGTGATGTGATCTCAGCTCACTGCAACCTCTGCCTTCTAGATTCAAGCGATTCTCCTGCCTCAGCCTCCCAAGTAGCTGGGATTACAGGTGCACGCCACCATGCCCTGCTAATTTTTGTATTTTTAGTAGAGACAGGGTTTCACCATGTTGGCCAGGCTGGTCTTGAACTCCTGACCTCAGGTGATCCATCTGCCTCAGCCTCCCAAAGTGCTAGAATTACAGGCATGAGCCACTATGCCCAGTCCTCCTGTTTCGTTTTCTAGAAGGTTATACATTGATTAGGTAATGGTTATAAATCTCACTTCACTACACTCTGGAACATGAAGGACTCCGTTTCTGATTTTTTAAACCCACTTAACCTGCATTGCATTCCTATGACCCTGGATGGGTGAGCAATCTCGTCCGCCGTTACTGGGATCAGAGGACTTGGAGGGGCTGTGAACAGTCACAGCAGTGTAGGGGAGCCTGATCCCAGTGCCCGAGACGAGCCCCGCGGCCCCCCCGGTCCTCAGCAAGACCCTCTGCCTGTCTTAGGGCTGGTTGCCAGACACGATGCAGGACATCCCGAGAAATTTGATTTTCAGATAAATGAGGAATCACTTTTTAGCATAAGTCTATCCCATGCAGTGTTTGGGACATATTGTCCTAGAAAATATTCATTTTTCTGAAATTCGGGTTTAATGGGATGTTCCACCATTTTCTGTTTGTGAACTCTGGCCGGCCTGTTCAGCTGGTATATTTACCTGTAGCATCAGCAGTGGCTCCACTGCACAGGCACCTGTTGGGATGAAACCACGAAAGCAGCTTCGTTTTTGGCTTCTGCTGCCTCTTGGGTCAGTTGAGTGGTGTTTTCACCCCTTGATGAAACTCGCACTGGCCCCATGTATTCATACAAGGCATTCGAAAGCCCTACTGTCACTTTATTTTGAAAAACTTCTAAAGCTTCATGTCCCATGGAGAAAACACATCACGAATGCTGAGTAAATGATCTTGCGGAGACACGGGTGGGGGGGGGCCCGCCTGGTTCCAGAGCTAGGAAACTGCCGGCCCTGCCCGGGGCCCCTGCCTGATGCTCCCCACCCAGGCAGCTGCACGCCTGCCCTGTGAGCAGCACCAGCCTCCCACGGGGCTCAGTGTGTGGGGCCTCATGACTTTCACAATTCCACATGCGATGAGCTTCAGTGCCTCCTTCCTGCGGGGCTGCAGTGTCTGATGGTGGCGGTGCACGTGTCTCATGCCCACCTGCCTGCAGGGCAGCCATGCTCTCCGTGGCCAGCCTCAGCCTCCATGCACACACACACCAATGCACACACACAGTGAGGCACACATATGCACATGTACACACAGAAGTACACACACACTGATGCACACATGCACACTGGTGCACACACACTGATGCACATCATGATGCACACATGTGCACAGATACACACAGCAATGCACACGTGCACTGATGCACACACGTGCACATACACAGAGCAATGCACACACATGCCAATGTGCACATGTGCACACACATGCACACACAGCAATGCACACACACTGATGCACACACAGCAATGCACACACACTGATGTACACACATGCACACATACACAGAGCAATGCATACACACGCCAATGCACACGCACACACACACCAATGCACACACATGCACACATACACCTATGCACACACACAGCGATGCACACACATGCACACGTGCACACACACACTGATGCACACAGACACACATGCGGCATGCCTTCATTTTCATCTCCACACGGCTGGCAGAGGTAAGCACTGTTGTCCAGGGCTGAGTCCCAGGTGTCTGCACTGGCTCACGTGTCCTTGTTATAGTGAACATGCGGCAGCTTCACCCGCTGCTCACACTGGCTCAGGGCTGTCCCACAGGAACTGCCTGCTTTCTCTCTGCTTCTGGTTGCTTCCACTGGAGGAGAAACGGCTAGACCTGCATGCACCTCTCATGTCCCATGTGCACTCTGGTAGTGCTGGGCACTCAGTCCACACCTGCTCGATTCAGGGGGCAAACATTTCCTCACAGGCTGTGTCCTCATATGACCTGATATTTGTCATAAATCCAATTTATAATGTTTTCCATTCTTCCCCACAAAGCTGTTCATCCACGTGCAAGGCCTTGTACAAATCGTCGGATAAAGAGGGCCTTGCATAAGACACAGAGGTGTCAGGGTCAATGTGAAGCCCTAGCGTGAGGCGCGTGGAGGCCTCTGAAGAACTGGGGCTGTTGTGTGGATACTTTGCAGCCCTGTGTTCATATTCATCTTGATGATGTTCTTGTAATTACAGAAAACAATAAAATTTCTGATGGGCCTGAAATGCACCCCAAGCCCACGAAGCTGCTGCCTGAATACAGTCTTCCGTCTTGTAAGTAAATTAAGAGAAGAAAAGAGAAACAATTCCATCTATCTGTCTGGCGTTCACCCACACATTCACCATTTCCAGTGTCTTTTATTTCTTCCTGTGGATTCCAGTTACCCTCTGTGGGGCCAGGGCAAGCTGAGCAAGAGGGCCCCAGTCCCAGGTCCTGAGAACACCAGCCCTCAGCCTTCTAAGCCCCTGTGTTAGCACCCTCCATGTCCCTCCCTGGGCACCTGCTCGTTTCATTCCAGCTGCGGGATTCTAGCCTGGGGGATTTCCCTTTAGTGTTTCTTGTCTACTGGAAATAGATGATCTCAGTTGTTGTCTATTTTGGAATTTCTTCATTTGCCTTCGGTTCTGAAGGATAGTTCAGCTGGGTATTGTATGCTTACTTGGCAGCTCAGAGAGATCTCAGCACTGAACCTGTGGCTCCCCGCCTGGGATGCCGTTTGTTTCTGAGGGCAAGTTGGCCATCAGTCATGCTCCCACTCCTCAGCTGAATGAGTGGGTTTCTCTTGCTATTTTCCAGATTTTTTCCTCCATCTTCAGCCTTCACTGTTTGATGCAATGTGCCTAGGTGTGGATCTACTTTATCCTACTTGGGATTAGAATATCTGCTGATAATGAAAACCAATTATAATTTTCATTGCGACTGTTTCTTTTTTTCCCACTCCAAAAATCTTTTACTTTTAAAAGCAGCAAAAAAAAAAAAAATCATGTCCATAGTCTAGATACAATCATATACATTAAAATAAATCATTCTTTGAAATAGAATCTTAACATTCTCCACATAGTTGACATTTTTCTCTAATGACTATACTGCTATACTGGCATTTTTTAAATAATGTGTTATTTTAAAGCTTTCTCTTTGCCGACATTGTAAATTTAACCAGCATGAGCTAATTAATGACCTCAATTTAATCTTCCTTTCCTTCCACATTTTAACTACCCATCTAGTTTTCAGGGCTAATTCCTAGGCTTTAAGACCTCTTAGAATTTAGAAAACAATTTTCTCGGCAGCACTGGGATTATTTACCTATTTATTCTGATCATCTGCTTTCTCTAGTAACACTTCTATATCACATTCATGCAGTTTATGCTTTTGGAATTCGAGGGAAAAGCTTCAGAATTACAAAAAAAATGTGATTTTGTGAGGCTATTTCAAAACTGTGATGAATTGTCACTTACAGAGGCAGAGCTGTCATGGCAGCAGCTGAGATATGATTCAGGGGCAGCTCTGCTAAATGCCAGGCAAACCTGAGGTTAGAGATTTGGGGCTGCAGTAGCCCCAGCACCCTGCCTTCTCACCACCCTGACTTTGCACTTCAGGGCAGCCGGACGCTCTGGGCAGAAGCCCCTCGGATGGGATGTGGTAGTGAGGCCTGGAGAAGCTGTGACGCCAGCCCAAGTCTCTCCAGAACCAGTCGACAGGGTGGCTGGGGAGAGGGCGTTCTTCAGATGAAAGCAATCTGGAGAAAAGCAGGGGCAAACTCTTGCCACGGCCCCTCCCAGGAGGGCCAGGGCTTCCCAGGAGAGGCCATGGGGCTCAGTGTGGATGCTCTATGGGGCCAGCTGGCGTCTGGGGGGCCGTGCCTGAGACGTCTTGCGGGACATTCAGGGCCAGGTCTGATCGTCGGACGTGGGCTGCAGGTCAGCACTTATTCATTCCTTCACTCAATTATTATTACATCGTCACAGGGCGGCTCTTTCTTTTTTCCTGTCTGCAGTCACGGGTTTGCTGAGTGTGTGATTACCTTGGCATGAGCTCCGCCACACTGAGTCCTGGAAACGCTGTGCTGTCTCTGGGGTCCGTTGGGTTTTGTTTTAGAATGGGTGTTGGCCCCTCTGTGAATGTTTAGGCACCTAAACAGGCCTCGATTGCAAATAAAACGTACAGATTACAGGCATTATGCCAGTCAATGGAAGAGCAGTTGGGAGAGAAAGCCTCAATTTCATAACATGAAATTAAAAATAAATATGAGACTGACTTTGGGTTCTGTCAGGCAATTTAAAATGAAGATGGGAAGGCTTGATTTGATTTTTAAAGAACCAAACCCCAGTCCTCCAATTACAGTAGTGAAATGTTCTTCCAAGTTCAACCTTTTCATTTCCGAGGCAAATGGGCTGAAGGCTGAATGTTACCAAGGGCGCGGCAGCGTGCAGGGGTTTGAGGACGACAGTGTGAGGGGCGATGAACCTGGGGTTCTCCTGCTGGCCTGGGTGGGATGGCTCGGGGAGCCTCAGCTCTGGGCCCTGGGGTTCTCCCGCTGGCCTTGCAGGGGTGACTGGCTGAGCCTCAGCTCTTGTCCCGTCCTGTGGTTCCTGGGAGTCCCGTGGCCACCGGGGCCAGGCTGTGGGTATCCAATAAGCATTGTGTGCTGGAGGCGAACCGTCCAGCCGGTCTGGTTTCACAGCAGCAAAGGCGCGGCTCCCTCCCTTCAGTGGGGCGATGCCGAGGCTGCTTCGCTCTGCACTTGAGAGAAATTTCACCTTGGTCAGGAGGCACTGGATGAGCCACCGTTGCCCAGTCCAAGGCTGGGCGGGGTGGGGGGGGGCTTCAGGTTTCCCGTGGGGTGTAATTCTGTCTTTCCTGCTGAGAGCCCTGGAGCGGTCCCAGGTCACACGGTGACAGAGGCCTTCTGGCAAAGCCCAAGGAGTGTTTTCAGTTTTAAAAAATTCATGTCCCTGAGGGCACCTCCTGTCTCCTTCCTGCCGTCACCCCACAGCCTGCAGACAGGCGGGGCGGCCCCTCCTGCTCTCTTGGGGCCTGACTTACATTATTCATCCCCTGCTCTGTTTCGTGGGATATTTGGTTACAGGAAGGGTCATGTTTTGCTGCCAGCGCTACTGATCCCTGAGAGCTGAGAGCCAGGACACACACACACACAGGTGCCTCCAAGGTGACTCCCATCCGTGCTGGGGCCAGGATGCCACGGCTCT